CTCTGGCTCACTTCCCTTTGTTTGTTTATTGTTAAAACTGAATTATAAATACCACATTTGAGTCTTCTTTAATGGTTTTTTTTTTTTCCTTTTGGGGGTGTGGTGGTGGCACTCAAAACTTCCTCTTTTGAAGAACTGGCTCCAAGAGCATATTGAGTATTCAGTGAACAATCGATAGAAAGAACTGCAGCATGTAGTAAATTGAAGAGAAAAATTGAAAAACTGAACAAGAATACCGAAAGAGAAAGATACGAATCTAGACATACTGTATGTTAACTCCACAACAAAGTTGGACTCTTCTGGACCAAACCCAAGAAAAGCATTCGAGTATTTCTCTTCCGGAATGTCTCTCTTCCTCAACAGCTTCATCCCAAAACCTTCAGTGTAGAACCTGATTACGCATCAAAGCTAAAATGAGAGAATCAAAAGAAAAAATTGAAAATTCACTTTTCGATCGAAGCCAATAGTCCCTTTTATTCTTGTTTTCTGGTATGATTTTTGAGTTGGTAAGGCCAATTTTATTGGACAGACATACTTGATGGTGCGATCAAGGTCACCGANGCTTTATGAAGATGAATGCACTCCTTGGAGTCGGTTCTCCGATATGTATTTGGCTTGTCAACTTGCACGTAAGTCAATGTCCCACTTTGTAGATAATTCTGATCCTGTTGAATAAGTTGTAGGAAGAATTTTCCCTGCCTCTGGTGAGAACTTTGCAGACTAGGATGTATGTCACTTAAGCAATATGTTTTCGATTTTTCTCTTTAATTTTTTTTCACATTCCTCGTGGAAGTGTCTTTGTGATTTGTTCAAATAATGAATAAAGGCCCAATTTCGGATGATTTCCCCCAGAATTCCATGACTCTGCTCCACAGTATGATTCACATGTCCTCTCTTTCGTAAACAAACCGTTTAAAAAAGAGAGATTTTGGCTTGACTATGACTCTTTTTTGGAAGTTGTCTCTACCTCTTGGAAACAACTGGCATGGGGATCCCTGTTATACTGTTTCGTTTTCAAATTGAAACGACTTAAAGAGGGACAAAGTGCTCTCCGGCCATTCAGGTTGACCTTATAATGCTACAAGTAAGTTTGGCATGGCATGGTTCAAAGTATGAGTCGATATTGATACGAGTCGGGCTGAATTATATTCGATTCGGCACCTTCTAAAACGATACTATTAGATGATACATATAAATCTTGAGTCTTGCATGACTCGGCTGAGTTAATTTTGAGTCATCGAGATATCGTCACCGAATTAACGAACACAGTTTTGCAACGTCACAGTATAATTTAAAGCTCTCGTCATGTTAACAAAAAAAATTTAGGTCGTATCGTCCGATACCGCACTACAACGCCACAACCAATGTGTTTTAGAGATCTCCGAGTTGATGATCATGCATGACTCCTTGTTGGCTTGTCTAAACTCGTTTTCTACATTCATCAATCTAAATGAATATCATATAAGGTCCAAAAGAATTATATTGGTTCATCAATCTAAATGAGTAAGGTCCAAAAGAATTATATTAAGACTTGAGCTGAGTTTTTTTCTCGACCTTAATGGGTGTACAAGTTGAGAGGATCGACCCAAATCCAATCTAAGCTATACCAAAAATATTTCGGGCAAAATTTTTTAATATGTGGGTTGAATTGGAACAATTAAATCTCAACTCAATCTACAATCGAACAGTTTTCGGATTGAATCTCAAGCGCTCAAGACTTGACCTAGACTCCTTCAATTTTCACTACTTCATGTTCAATTCGTATCTTGCTACAACGAAACAAGCTTATGAATGAATCTAATGAAAATTCAGGTCCTTGTCTGCTTGGAAGATTTTTTATGATTCCCCCTTCGGTGAAAGAGGGCAAAGGGGGTGTGGGAGAGAATTCTAAAAGAAAAGAAGATTTCTTCCCCCAAATGGGACAGGGTGAGACACATTGGCAATTGGGGATGAATCAAATTTCAATCAGACTACAATACCACAAGAGTCCGCTAAAATCAAAGAAGGTATACCTTCCATTGATAATAAAAACTAGTATATGCAAAGCACAAACTCAACTATGTGGATATATTTCACGAGCATATTAATCCTTTCTAAAAAACAGCAAAAGTAATAGCTAATCGGATATTATATTGACAAGGTACCACACAAATGTGTATAAGCAGAAGTTGTAGTCAAGTATAGTTTCACGCCACACGATGGCTAACATCGATAGCAGTTGTTCATATCGGAGACACTAATTATTCATAATAAGACTTTATTACTACAACTCCCAAATCCATTCCCAGAGGCTAGTGCATATGATATTACTCGTCCTTGTGCAGTTCCTTCAGAAAATCTTCATTGTCAACCAGAACCTACGTATGAAAAGCAAAAACAAGAGTTGGTGATCAAAAGGTAGTGTACACCATGCAGAATCTACAAGATAGGAGAGGTGGTTCCCACCCAAAACAAGGATTACAGGATGAGATGCGCTTTGGGTTACATGCTCGACTACAATTGAATATTAAAACTTTCAATAGTATTTTGACTATTAAAACTTTGAAACAACGAATTATCTGCTCTGGAGAAAACTTACTGTTTTCCAACCATCTGGGTCTAGAAAAGAAACAATCTTGGTGTTGATTCCAGGAATTGGTCCTGGTTGTCGCGTTATCTTTCCTCCAAGCTCTTGGGTGACCAGATTGACAACCTCACCACTTTTGTATACATCATCAGTACTGATTGCAACCTAAAATGAACAACGTCCATAGAAAGTCAAGACGAAGACAACGAAGGAGTATATTTGAAACAGAGAAGGTTTCAAACGTATTAAACCAACCTGTGCATAAGCATTTCCTTTGGTATATTCAGTCACACCATAGTTATAAGTCAACTCCAGGACAGTTGTTTGGTCTTCATCAGCATACCCCATCATGGCTAAGGTGTACTGTAAGGTAACAATAGCATAAGTAAAAATCAGAGAAAATTACTTTTGCCACCTGACCCCAAAGAGAAACTACAATTAAACAATGGACACCTTCTGCTCTGGTCTATCAATCGTCCTCAGAAGTTTCATCCCCAAAGCCTGCATAAATGGACAAATCAAAATGATATAAATGTACTAGAATTGTATAATTATATAGAGCAGCGTCAAACAAAACTAGATATCTCCAAAATGCTTATGAAGTATAACATCAGTAATTGACTAGTACTTGTTACTATCCTATCAAGATTATCAACAAAAAGGTTGTATTCCAAAAAATGCATTTTTCTGTAGGTTAGAGTTAAAAACCATTTTCCACTTGCATTTATTTGCTCCTGGAATCAAATTGCATCTTTAAAAAACAACTTGCATCAGCTGACAATTAATTCTAGAGATAAGAGCTGAAAGTTCCAAACAAGATCCACATACCCTGACAAAATAAACAGATGAAATTAAACTACTCAACAGAAAGAAAAATTTGCAACTTGTGCCATTATACACAAGACCAAAAATGGCACAAGTTGGACACTAAAATAGATTTACATCTACAAAATTGCCACCATTACAGCAGACCTTTTCCTCTGCTTCTCGTGTCAAATTACTTTACAAACACTAGTAATTGGAAACAAAACAACCGAGAGTGAAACCTAAATATGAGATAGTTTATATACTAGGGAAATGACCTTGCTAAAGTCATCAGACACATGAAACAGATGCAGGAAATAAACTAAGATCTGTGTACCTTCTCATAAAATTTGATAGAACGATCAAGATCACCAACACGAAGCATCACTTGACAAAGTGGTTCAGGAGTAGGACCTCTTTGGATTATCTCAAAAGCATAGCCATCAGGATCTTTCACAAAAGCAATGACACTCTTTCCACCTTTTACTGGACCTGGCTCCCGTGAGACATTGCCACCCTTGGCTCTCGCGTTTTCAACGAATTTGTAGACCTAAAAGTGTGTTGTATGAGGCAATCAACGAGAAATTAAACCATGTTCGAGAAAAATTAAATTCCTAAAACACCACTTACATCTTCGGTCGCAATAGCAAAATGCCCAAAGCCTGTTCCAATGTCATACTTATCCACTCCATAGTCTGTACAGCAGCACAAAAAAAAACCCACCGGACACCATAGATTAATTGAATAAATGTCAGGAGAATAAAGTTCGAAGTTACAGGGCTAAAAGTACAGCTAAGATGGTTCTTTTCCATTTGCTCAAACACCATCTATAATTAAAAAAAAGTTGAACTTCATTCACCATACATTAAAAGTGCTCTCTGGCTCACTTCCCTTTGTTTGTTTATTGTTAAAACTGAATTATAAATACCACATTTGAGTCTTCTTTAATGGTTTTTTTTTTTCCTTTTTGGGGGTGTGGTGGTGGCACTCAAAACTTCCTCTTTTGAAGAACTGGCTCCAAGAGCATATTGAGTATTCAGTGAACAATCGATAGAAAGAACTGCAGCATGTAGTAAATTGAAGAGAAAAATTGAAAAACTGAACAAGAATACCGAAAGAGAAAGATACGAATCTAGACATACTGTATGTTAACTCCACAACAAAGTTGGACTCTTCTGGACCAAACCCAAGAAAAGCATTCGAGTATTTCTCTTCCGGAATGTCTCTCTTCCTCAACAGCTTCATCCCAAAACCTTCAGTGTAGAACCTGATTACGCATCAAAGCTAAAATGAGAGAATCAAAAGAAAAAATTGAAAATTCACTTTTCGATTGAAGCCAATAGTCCCTTTTATTCTTGTTTTCTGGTATATTTTTTAATTTGGTAAGGCCAATTTTATTGGACAGACATACTTGATGGTGCGATCAAGGTCACCGACACGATAAACAGCATGTAAGAAGCGACGCTTATCTTTCTTTGGAAATTCCAACAATTCATCAATCGGAATCACAGGTGTAGCCTCAGCCATGATCGATCAAATGTGCTTACTCGGCTGACAAAAATAAACATATGATTATCACAAATACAGTAACCACAAAGAATCCTCACTTCAGAACTGAATTCAACAGAGAGAGAGAGAGAGAGAGAGAGAGAGAGAGAGAGAGAGAGAGAGAGTACCGAGAGAGAGTGCGTTATCAGTGAAGGACAGTAGCAAAAGCCCTAGAAATGTGGGTGTGTGAACAAAGCAAAACATATATATAACCGTCCCAGACGAGATAAGCTAAAGTGAACGGCAGTCATAATATTTTTATAACAGGCATATAGCATTTGATGAGGAGGAAGATCTGTCAATTTTACGGGTGAGGAGGTTTCTTTTCAATGATTGCCGTAAAAAAATACTCTACTCATATTTAATTTATTTTATTAATTTATTAGCCATAACCCGTAGTTGAAGGCACGATAAAATATAAAATTCGAACATTCAAAAAATCGATCTTACTATATTAAATTTTTTCAAAATATATTAATTATAAATTAATTAAATATTAAATAATTAAATATATGATAAAAATGAGTTGTGTGATATTTTTAAGAAGAAAATATATAAATGATTAAATATGTGATAAAAATAAGTGATATAATTTGACGTTTGATTTTGACAAAGAGATGATGGGTGAGGTGAGTGATTGATGATGATTTTGAAGAAAAAAATATGACTGGGATAAAATTCAAACACACTCCTGTTTTATTATATAAATATCTCTTGCAAATCGTAGTAAATTGGGTTTGTGTCATGAACAAATCTTATATAATCAATATATAAATGAGTTATGTCGTATATTTTTTAAAATTTATTTTATTTATACCCAATTTTTTTTAATTAATCGTGTTATATCAGATCCATACATTTTATTAAATTGAATACAACAATGTCAGTCTAATTAAGTTTACTGTCTTAATTATGGATAATGTTATAAAAATCTAATTTGGGGATCGAGTTAGAGCCCATTAGATTAGTTATGAAATTCAGTGGTAAATGATAGAGCTAATCTTCAATTTAACAGCTCTGGTTGATGGCTCGGTGTGTCAATGACCTTTTCAATGCAGGTGTGGTCCAGCTCAAAGGTGGTGGATAAAAGTTGTGGTTACCAAAATGGCCACTTTTTATAAGCCTTTGTTAGTATGTATTTGGACATAGGGGTAGCTTTGATTCCTTTCCCACCCTTGTTTTTCGTATAAGTGATGGTTCATGAAAAAGCCCATTGGATGGTAGTTATCATGAAACCGAGGCTTTCGAAAGATTGTTCTTCCCTTTTTAAATATGGATTATCTAGGGCCATGTTTGAAAATCATTTTTTTGTTTTATTTTTGGTGAAAACTGTCCATAGGTATGGGGTTGACAATTAGTTGGGTTGTTTATCGAATAGATTGTAATGGACTTTTGACGGGAATTTATCAGAGGCCTCTGTTTGACTTAACAAAACCGATCTCGTGGGCCTTAATTGACAAACCACATTGATTCAAAGGGAATTTAGAAGTCGGTATAATTTTTTAGATTTATTTGGATAAAAGTTTAAGTCAAAAACTTATTTGAAATAAAGTGCATGTTTTTTAAAAATGTCACTATTGTCATCGGTAAACAGCAAATGGATGAAAACTCTTTTGTATTTTTTTTTCATTTTTTTTGTTACAATTAAGTAATGAGAGGTAAAATAGGAGTATATATTTTTCTAACAATTTCTCTCTCTTTCTCCCCCTATTTTCTCTTACTCTATTTATATTAATATTACAACAACACAGTTACACTAATTAGTTACATCAATCAGTTACAATTGTCATATAATACACCAAACAGTTAATGCGTTCTAATAAATCAAACAGTTACACAAAACAATTATACAAAATTATGACATCAACTCAATTTGTCATTCAGTTGTTTACATAAACTAAATAGTTGTATAATTTAGTATTGTGACATTGCTACACCATCATGTCTTAATAATTGCATAAGACTGTGATTGTTACACTCATTAAAAAAAACAGGTACACACATTAAAAATATAGTTACACCCATTAAAAAAAATAGTTACACACATTAAAAAATAGTTACATCCATTAAAAAAAAACAAAAATTTTTTTTTTTTCCAACAACACACAATACATAATATCTAACAAAATATCTTGACCAATTTTCTTTTTTTTTAGAAAAATTTCAGGGTTTAATCAATCATCACAATAAAAGACTTTATTCTTTTTGGTTAGATGATGTGGAAGCAATGTTGGTAGCATGAAACAACATATTTATATATATATATATATATATATATATCTGTGTGTGTGTGGTGAAATACAAACTTATATATATATACCTCTGCTTTTGCTTTCTCTCGTTCTCTGTAAACTCCTATTTTACCTCCAATTATTATTGTTAATCTTTACATATTTGTTTCCTCAAATAACTGTCAATGATGACTGTATAAATTAAAGAAGTGTGTTTAGGTAAAAAAGATTTTAATTCATTTTGAATTTTGTACCTAAACACAAAAAATTTATAAAAATTGTACTTAATAGAATAAATAACTTATTCATATATTTTTGCTCAAATAAGTCTAAAAAATTGTACCCACACCTAAAAATCATTGATTTAATGGACTGAAAATCACAACTCAAGACCCAATCCATTTGTTTTTGGACTAGTTTATAGGCTAGAATTTTCTTATAACTTTCTCACTTTCAAACTACAGAAGTACATATTTCATACTAATCAAATCAAATATATACAAGAAAATATATATTTTTTTTCTTTCACTTTCACTTTCTATCATTATTTTCTTCTTAACCAAGCAGACCCCTAAGAATCGCATAAGTCGTTTGGCCTTCACCCCACCAAAGCTGTAAGAAGGAAGTTGTAATACTCCTCGTAAATACAACCCTATTTGCTAAATGAATGGGAATCAAAATTACAACTAAAAAATAATATATTTTTTTGAATTTATAGTTGATGAGGGGATATATACCTATGAATTATTTTAAAAAATTTAAATTTTAGCTAAAAATATAATATGACCCCAAACAAAAATAATTTTTAATTCGACACTATTTTTTTTAATTACCGTAAAATTACCCCAAACTAAAATTACATTCGAAAAAGGAAGAGAAGTCAGAAAGTTGTCCAACCCAAGTAGAGTCATCCAACGGATTTAAAAAGGGAACTGTTTCTGTGTGTAATAGGTGGTCTCATGTCTATGTCATTGTCATAGCCACGAATTAATGATGTTACCATTATTCATTGTGGGGTCCATTAACAGTCAAACATAATCTCCACACACTTTAATAGACTTTGTTTTTTTTAGTACTCCAACAAGGATTTTGTTTGACATATGATAACTAGGTATATTGCATTCACTTTATCTTGGATGCGACTCCTCTGCTATTTGCGAGGAATAGCAGCCCTGCTGTTCTATTCAAACAACATCATTTGGTGCCTTTTTGAAAAAACCAATCAGACCCAGAATTAAAAAAAAAAGCCCCAAAATAATTGAATACACAAAACGATCATTCCTCAAAAAAGTCTTCACTCAATCACCTACGATCATTCTCAAAAACGTCTTCACTCCATCGCCTACGATCATTCCATAGACCCAAAATGATGCCGAGTTGAAGACCCAAAAAATTCTGACACTCCATCGCCTACGCCTTCACTTATGCNTTTTTTTTTTTCCTTTTGGGGGTGTGGTGGTGGCACTCAAAACTTCCTCTTTTGAAGAACTGGCTCCAAGAGCATATTGAGTATTCAGTGAACAATCGATAGAAAGAACTGCAGCATGTAGTAAATTGAAGAGAAAAATTGAAAAACTGAACAAGAATACCGAAAGAGAAAGATACGAATCTAGACATACTGTATGTTAACTCCACAACAAAGTTGGACTCTTCTGGACCAAACCCAAGAAAAGCATTCGAGTATTTCTCTTCCGGAATGTCTCTCTTCCTCAACAGCTTCATCCCAAAACCTTCAGTGTAGAACCTGATTACGCATCAAAGCTAAAATGAGAGAATCAAAAGAAAAAATTGAAAATTCACTTTTCGATTGAAGCCAATAGTCCCTTTTATTCTTGTTTTCTGGTATATTTTTTAATTTGGTAAGGCCAATTTTATTGGACAGACATACTTGATGGTGCGATCAAGGTCACCGACACGATAAACAGCATGTAAGAAGCGACGCTTATCTTTCTTTGGAAATTCCAACAATTCATCAATCGGAATCACAGGTGTAGCCTCAGCCATGATCGATCAAATGTGCTTACTCGGCTGACAAAAATAAACATATGATTATCACAAATACAGTAACCACAAAGAATCCTCACTTCAGAACTGAATTCAACACAGAGAGAGAGAGAGAGAGAGAGAGAGTACCGAGAGAGAGTGCGTTACCAGTGAAGGACAGTAGCAAAAGCCCTAGAAATGTGGGTGTGTGAACAAAGCAAAACATATATATAACCGTCCCAGACGAGATAAGCTAAAGTGAACGGCAGTCATAATATTTTTATAACAGGCATATAGCATTTGATGAGGAGNACAAAAAATTTATAAAAATTGTACTTAATAGAATAAATAACTTATTCATATATTTTTGCTCAAATAAGTCTAAAAAATTGTACCCACACCTAAAAATCATTGATTTAATGGACTGAAAATCACAACTCAAGACCCAATCCATTTGTTTTTGGACTAGTTTATAGGCTAGAATTTTCTTATAACTTTCTCACTTTCAAACTACAGAAGTACATATTTCATACTAATCAAATCAAATATATACAAGAAAATATATATTTTTTTTCTTTCACTTTCACTTTCTATCATTATTTTCTTCTTAACCAAGCAGACCCCTAAGAATCGCATAAGTCGTTTGGCCTTCACCCCACCAAAGCTGTAAGAAGGAAGTTGTAATACTCCTCGTAAATACAACCCTATTTGCTAAATGAATGGGAATCAAAATTACAACTAAAAAATAATATATTTTTTTGAATTTATAGTTGATGAGGGGATATATACCTATGAATTATTTTAAAAAATTTAAATTTTAGCTAAAAATATAATATGACCCCAAACAAAAATAATTTTTAATTCGACACTATTTTTTTTAATTACCGTAAAATTACCCCAAACTAAAATTACATTCGAAAAAGGAAGAGAAGTCAGAAAGTTGTCCAACCCAAGTAGAGTCATCCAACGGATT